GGAGCTGGGATATGAGGACAAGGAGCTGAGATATGAGGACAAGGAGCTGAGATATGAGGACAAGGAGCTGGGATATGAGGACAAGGAGCTGGGATATAAGGACAAGGAGCTGGGATATGAGGACTAGAAGCTGGGATATGATAACAAGGAGCTGGTATACGAGAGCGGAGTTAAAGAACAGTATCCAACCACTTGGATTATTGAGATCGAACCCCAAACCCGGCAAAAAGCAAGGCCCTTGCTCAACCCATCAGTCCAAATAGAAGAACATTAAACACATCCACATATTCTTTATCATAACTTACTCTAGACTGATGCTAATGTTAGCAATACTATTCACTAACATTAATAACTTCAAATTAGTAATCATTATAGAGTTACGAGAGCTGATGGTTCTTAACATATAACGCCAACTTTCGTGAGAGAAGCTCACTAATGAACTCTATAACCGCCAAGAGTGTTATAATAGCCATCAGATATACGATGATATATAATCCTTATATTCCAACACTTTACACACCGTGACTCAAGTCTTATCACTTTTTAGAACACTGTTGTAATCATCTTAAGTGACTTAGGAACCAAAGGGGAAGTTTGGAGTCTTTATCAGTGTGTTGTGAGACGTGAGGTCGCTGCTCGCTTTCACCTGCTCTCAGGTGAAGGTGATTCTGGAAATATTTTGATCTTGATATAATGTTTCTACTGTGATGAGACGGTAGCAAGGCGCAGACATTCATAGGTTGAGAGAATACACATACATGAATTTATTAATACAGGTGAAGATACATACTCTTACTTATATATACATGTACACAGATAAAGTTATATGCCATGCAAATCTCTTATGCATATTCAGAGATTCGGCAATTCGTATATATATTCAGATTCGGTTATACATACATATATTACAAATACAGCTATATATACATATATACATAGGCCACTTTTGACAAGCTGGCGCCTTGTCAAAAGTTCCCCCATTTTTCTAAGAATTGTTTCCAACTGTATTTTTGGTATTTACAGCTACGGCGGGTAGGCAGTTCCATGAGTTTATAACTATGTGGGATGGGTAAAAAAAAACATCTCTTGTTCTCAGTCCTACATTGCGGCTTGTTGAGCTTGAAACAGTTGCTCCTTGTTTGTGTTTCATGTGACCTTTTGAAGAAGTTGTCCGAATCAACATTCTCCAAATTGTTCAGTACCTTAAGTTTCAATGAGATCAGCCCTGGCATGTCTGGTCTGCAGTGTGGTTGGCCCTGAGGTCCTCTACCGTTCTTGGTACGAGAGTTGACAGTTCTCGGATGATTTTTATCGCCTGGTATTGAACTTTCTCCGAAGTAGATGTCTTTCTGAGGCTGAGATCACCATGCCTGGGTAGAGTAGTCCAGTTGGGGCGCAACAGCCACTTGTACACTTGAATAACCACTTTAGTTTTCTTAGAGTTAAAAGGTTCGTTCCACTATTCCTTGGGTGTAGTTGGCCTTTAATACAGCAGCTGCCGCTTGTTGTGCAACATTCAATAACTGGTGGATTTAGACTTTTCTTCCTCAATCTATTGCATGGAAGTGTTGGTGACTTGATAGTTATGATGTGCACTGAGATGTTCTACATGCAAGGTCTTGTATTTTCAATATTAAAAGCATTTTGCAGTCTTCCAACCATTGGTGCAGTTCATGTAAATCTCACTGTAAGGCCTCAATACAGTTTGTGCATCCCACTTTATCATAGATGTTGTCTTGACTCTATATTGAATTCTTTGGGTCTGACTGTCCCCAAGTGCTCCTGTGAAGGCATTGACGACATTCGTCTCTTTCAAGGGGTTTTGTTTGGTGTCATGGGAGTTCTTCATGAACAAGATGGCAGACATCTTGCTCTTATAGTGTAATATTAGTTCATTCTTCTGGTTGGTGTCGCTACGGGTCACGCTATTGATAGAAATCATAATTCTTAAGTAATTTATGGCCTACCATTCAAGTAGAGATTGCCAGATTTTAGTACTTGGCAGAGGCCGTCAGGGAGCCCCACAAACTGGTCAGTTAAACTTCCACAAACAGGCACAGAAATATTCAATCAAGATGAACGAAAAAACTGCCTGAAAACGCTCAAATAATTGACTCAACTAAATGCAATTTTAAGATCATTTTATTAAGGAGTTTACAATTGTGGTAATTACAAATATGATCACGTCAGTGGGTCAGTAGTTTCCCTGAGACTACCACAAAGGCAGTAATTAAGTGAATTACAGATAGGATCGTTAGCAACGGCAGATGAGGTCACGTGACCTCACTCAACCAATCTTGGCCTAACAAGCTATTGAGTATATTCTCCGCTGTTAACATTTCGCTTTTTATAACTCTTCAACTATGGGTAATCACATTAATTTATATTTCATTTCTGTGTTTTTTACTCAATAAATATTCCATTTATACTTTTAATAGAGAATGTCTATTTGTCCAAAGCTGAAGGACAGAGGCTTAGGGGTAGCCTCACCCAAATTTGCAGGGGGACATTATCTAGTGTACGGGACGGACATAGGCTGGTCAGGTCAGGCCTAAGTTAAATTCTTCAAGAAATATTATTAATTATAGATATCTTGCTAGTTACGTGGAGTCAAGTGTGAAATATGTGGTGTGCACCGTTTAGAATGTTTGGTGATTGTAGAAATTCATAATGATACTTTTTTGATAGAAGGAAAAGGGAAAAACTTGGATCAAAGGGGATGGGGGATGATGGGGGAGAAATAGGGTGAAATGGGGGATAAGAGGGACATGCACTTGCCATGTATGGTCCCACATAGACACGCAGTTGACATGGTTCAAAACTTATCCTATGCAAACACTTTCATACCACAGACATGGAGCTGCCGTGTGTGGTTCAAAACTTGTCTTATGACTATTTTTATACTAAAATAATACCATATATGTAATTGATTGCAAACATTAGTTTTCAGAGCAGGATGTGAAGGTGTTGCTAACATGTTGGGTATCTGTTTGGCCAGCTGGGCGGGCACCATGGTGGTCGGTGGCCAGCTGTGCGGGCACCATGGTGGTCGGTGGCCAGCTGTGCGGGCACCATGGTGGTCGGTGGCCAGCTGTGCGGGCACCATGGTGGTCGGTGGCCAGCTGGGCGGGCACCATGGTGGTCGGTGGCCAGCTGTGCGGGCACCATGGTGGTCGGTGGCCAGCTGGGCGGGCACCATGGTGGTCGGTGGCCAGCTGTGCGGGCACCATGGTGGTCGGTGGCCAGCTGGGCGGGCACCATAGTGGTCGGTGGCCAGCTGTGCGGGCACCATAGTAGTCGGTGGCCAGCTGGGCGGGCACCATGGTGGTCGGTGGCCAGCTGGGCGGGCACCATGGTGGTCGGTGGCCAGCTGGGCGGGCACCATGGTGGTCGGTGGCCAGCTGTGCGGGCACCATAGTAGTCGGTGACCAGCTGTGCGGGCACCATAGTGGTCAGTGACCAGCTGTGCGGGCACCATGGTGGTCGGTGACCAGCTGTGCGGGCACCATGGTGGTCGGTGACCAGCTGTGCGGGCACCATGGTGGTCGGTGACCAGCTGTGCGGGCACCATGGTGGTCGGTGACCAGCTGTGCGGGCACCATAGTGGTCGGTGACCAGGTGTGCGGGCACCATAGTGGTCGGTGGCCAGCTGTGCGGGCACCATGGTGGTCGGTGGCCAGCTGTGCGGGCACCATGGTGGTCGGTGGCCAGCTGGGCGGGCACCATGGTGGTCGGTGGCCAGCTGGGCGGGCACCATGGTGGTCGGTGGCCAGCTGGGCGGGCACCATGGTGGTCGGTGGCCAGCTGGGCGGGAACCATGGTGGTCGGTGGCCAGCTGTGCGGGCACCATGGTGGTCGGTGGCCAGCTGGGCGGGCACCATGGTGGTCGGTGGCCAGCTGGGCGTCCCGGTGGTTGGTAGCTAGGTGGCTAGGCATCCCGACCGGTGCTGAAGTGAGGGTCGGTCTCTAGAGGTTCATATGTGGGTCTGTCTGTGGGGGATCTGTCAGTGAGGGGTCTGTCAGTGAGGGGTCTGTCAGTGAGGGGTCTGTCTGTACCAGCTAGTCCTAGGGTTCTATCGTGCTCTCTTTGGATGCTCCGAGTTAAGGGAAGTTTCTGTCATGTTCAAGTAGGGGTGTAAGGAGGCTTCTCTCTAGTCTCTCAAGAGGCGCGGGGAGTGCATCCCACCGCTGCCACCATTATTTCACCTCAAATTATCATTTATATCACCTGTGGTCGCTTTTTTGTCCTCCACCCTTACCTTGTCATTCCTACTACCCCTGTACCTCACCTTATACTCACTTATACTCTAATGCTGTCACCACTCGGAATTAATACACGGGTTAGAAGACTGTTCTGACACTTGTAGAATTATATCTTCATAAATTGCTCTAGTGTCAGTCAGCTGGGGAACCAGTTAATTTAGTTCTGCGCTCTGGCATGTAAGCTTGAATTACATCTGGCCCACTAGTTCCAGCACTTTCTTGAACAAAGGAATACTTAAACCCGGGGCTTTCACCTGGTTCTTGAACATTCATATACTGTTCACAACCTCAATATTACCCCGGCAATATTACTGACTCGGGAAAGGGTATTAGACAATTATTTCAGGGAAAAACACAAGGGAAAGGTAACTTGCACCTGAGAGAATTAAAATGAATAATAAAGAATCTTCAGTTCAACAAATGAGATTATTAAATCAAACATTCTGGCCTCACTGGCCTTTAGCTAACGAGGTTTCTGTCTGTGGGGGATTTATAGGGGTTTATCAGTCGTAATATGTCCTGTCTGCAAGGACCTATCTGTGGGGTCTGAAATTACATGAAAGAGCGTGATACATAATTGATATATATATTCTCGTACATAATATTTTACATGTAAAGATACAAACACAGTTGTATGAATATTAAACTTAAACACTTGAAATAATGCACAATTCTCGAAGAGTTTGAGAAGAGAGTTGTCTGGGACTGTTTATATGACTTGTATTTCTGTGTTGCAGAGGCGCAGTGTGGACGGGAGGACGCCTGGAGCCCCACATCACACTCAACATTATCTGGAGGATGTCTTCCCAGGCATGGCTCGTATGGCTGGCATCGGTGCGTCACGCATAGTCACACTTCAAGTTCTCAAGACGCACACGCACTCGGAACCCTGGAGCTGTAACTCAAAGGCACATGCGCTCCTCGCCTAGTGCTCAGACACCCGTCAGCTTGTTGGCTCCAGGCATGCGTCAGCTAGTTGGCTCCAGGCATGCGTCAGCTAGTTGCCTCCAGGCATGCGTCAGCTAGTTGCCTCCAGACATGCGCTGGGTGCTGCCATGCGCCGGACGCTGAGACTTGTGTTCACACAAACTCGTGAGCACTCTGTATGACCTCTGAGCCCCTGCAGTATAGAGTGCTTACCAGTTTACTCGTGTATATGTATACACTATATGTATATAGTATAATAGTATATATATAGATATATTCATCGTCTTTTCTAATCTTTTATATTCCTTCCACTTATCGTTTTCGTGTTGTTGGCCATTATTCTTCTTCTTCCCCATTATCGTCTCTCCAGCGGTCCCAAGGAGAGCTTCGGTCTCCTCCATACGCCAAAGTGGCGCATATATCACTTTCTCCCAGATGCCTTGAAGAACGGCTCTTATATCCATACTTCTCCTACATCTCTTATATCAACATTTTACACTTCTTTATCTATTTCCCAGCGTTCATGCAAGTGTTTTTGGCGTAGTATTCTGTTCCTTCGCTCATCGTGGATAGGATCTGTGCATACTCTCATCTTGAATAGGATCTATATGTATGCAAATCATAAATAGGATCACTTTTTTCCCCTCTGTGAATCTTTGCAGATAAATACGCTTATTATATGTACCAGGTCCGAGGCGGGTGAGATAGGGGACCATTGGTCTATGGGACCACACAAGGAGGACAGGTGCGAGACAGCTGGGATGACGGACCCTTGCTTCTTGGGGCCATTCAAGGAAGTGTAATAATTATTCCCTATTTAAGTGAGTTTTGTTACTAATTGTAAATAAGGAGCAGCTATTTTTTATGCTTTGAAGTGAATCCTTTAAATGCGGATTTAATACGGCCACACCCCTAGTGTGGATTTTTTTTTTTTTTTTTGGAAAAAAACAGAACAAATAGCTATTTAAAGGGAATATAATTGCGATCTCGGAAACAAAACTCAGGCAATTTAGATGCTGAAGTTCAACTGTCAAAAGCTGATTAAGGAGTATTTATTTCCAAAATGGACCTCCTCCCAAAAACTCAAATAAAATTATATTTAGGAAAGACATGTGACTAATACGTCGTATTACCCGCTAGACTAATACAAATGGTTTCATCTGCCAAAATTTAGATGTGAGGATAGAAAAGGGATTTTGGGTCCTTGGAGCATTGGAAAAAAAAAATTGGCTCTCCGAAAAAATTGGAAAAACGATTCCAAAAAAATTGTTGTGCCATGTTGTGAAATAATAAATATTGAGGGGTTTTGGGGAAACAAAATCCAATTTGCCCGACTCTGTGAGACACGATGAGAAACTGAGGTTTAGTGTCTCACATATAGGAAAATGCAAGAAACTATTGGTATTAAGAAAATTTATCAAAATATGATTATCTACTAATGGTAAAGGGGAAAAGAATTTAGATTTTAATAAAATGACAAAAACTATATTTGTTGTTTTTGAGTCTGTTGAGATGAGAAATATGGCCAGGGTGAAGTGACATCACCCCCCATCTCACACCTCACCCCTCACATCACCCTCACCTCACCCATCACCTCACTCTCATCTCACACATCACCTCACTCTCATCTCACACATCATCTCACACATCACCTCACCCCTCACCCTGGTAATGTTGCCTCCACTCTCCTTCCCTATATCGTCCTCTATTATCACAAGCCCATTCAACCAGACTGTTGTGCATGCAAGTCATTAAAGAATCACAAACATCATTAAATATGGCAAGAATATCGTGCTTGGAGACACGGGTGGAGGGCGCTGGTGCGGCAAGCAGAGATCAGGCAGCATCCTCTCAAGCAGAGATCACGCAGCATCCTCTCAAGCAGAGATCACGCAGCATCCTCTCAAGCAGAGATTACGCAGCATCTTCTCAAGCAGAGATCATGCAGCATCCTCTCAAGCAGAGATCACGCAGCATCCTCTCAAGCAGAGATCATGCAGCATCTTCTCAAGCAGAGATCAGGCAGCCTCCTCTCAAGCAGAGATCACGCAGCATTCTCTCAAGCAGAGATTACGCAGCATTCTCTCAAGCAGAGATCACGCAGCATCCTCTCAAGCAGAGATCACGCAGCATTCTCTCATGCATAGATCACGCAGCATCCTCTCAAGCAGAGATCACGCAGCATTCTCTCATGCAGAGATCACGCAGCATCTTCTCAAGCAGAGATCCCGCAGCATCCTCTCAAAGTGGCTCTTGAAGCACCAGTGGGGTGCCGGTTCTCTAGCCCCGGGGCAGGAGACGTCAAGAGTTACCCAACCCTTTACGAAACATCTACATCTTTCAACAATCGTGCCAGCTTTCTCTGCGTTTATTAAACAGTTTGTGCATTTGGAAACACCCCAATGTTGTTTATAAACACCAGCCAACTGGCCCTCCAGTATGCCAGCTGGGTACTGGAGAACCAGCTGGGTACTGGAGAACCAGTTGGGCACTGGAGAACCAGGTGGTAAACACGCGGAAGCTGGCCATACTCGCCTGAGTATACCGCATACAACCATGAACCGCTGCTCAGGTTGAAATATACAGTTGAATGGATCTGTAAACAGGAACTTGTATTTTGTTGTAATTATCATACTGTGTAGAGTAGCCTTTCTCAGCCTCTTGACAGAGGCGTCACTCTGTCTAAACAGACAGTGACTGTCCCTCGCCTGTCTCCTGATGTGGTCCAAGAGACAGACTTCCTGCTCACATTAAAGGCTTATTGTGCCTGTCGTTGTAAATAAAAATAATAAAAAAATAATATATATATATATATATATATCATAAATATATGAAACTGTATAGTTAAACACATTAGAATTGTGTGTAGAATTGTGTATATTTACTGTGGGACTTTGCCTGGTGTAGCCTAAGTGTATAAGAGTGGAAATGTTGCCTGTAGTGGAGATGTATAAGAGATGTGGAAGTCTCATTCATTTATTGTTTGATGTGTGTCTCTGTTGTAACGTCCGCGCTCGTGTCACCAACACCTACACTCAGTAACGTAACTGGTGTTCAGCTCTATGTGACTCTACAGACGATAATACACAGCGTTCTGCGAATAGAATCGGTCAACCATCTTCTTGATGACAAAGAAATATGCATCTTGTATTATTTTTTCACAGCAAGAATGATTGTTTACGTTGGTTCTTGTACCTAACGTCCTGTTTCGTGGCAGGAAGGTGGTTCTATCATGTTACTTTAGGGGTTAGAACCAGCATGATGCTGGTTCATCTCCCTGGTCCCAGAGGGGTGACATCTCTAGAGACAGATGAGATAATGATGCTTTGAATCACATGATTTCAACACACTGGGAACACAGAACCATTGTCAACACCTTCGACAGACTGGTGATGAAGAACCAGGTGAACCGCCCGCCCATACACAGGGCGGGCTGTTGGTTGGGCCGGGTGGTAGAGCAACGGTCTCAATTCATGCAAGTCGGCGTTCAATCCCTGACCGTCCAAGTGGTTGGGCACCATTCCTTCCCCCCGTCCCATCCCAGATCCTTATCCCGACCCCTTCCCAGTGCTATATAGTCGTAATGGCTTGGCGCTTTCCCTTGATAATTCCCCCCCTCACTCATATCACTCACGGTTTTGATCCTGCACCCGACCAACCGCCCGCCCTGTGCATTTTTATACATGACTACACACACACATATGTATACACACCTGCATATACACCTTTATACTCACGTCATATTTCACAGGCTTCCTCCTCGTGGCTTACAACACAATATCCCGGATATTGTCCAATTTCAGGCTCAATATTTTCAGTGCCTGACTGTCCAAGACTCTCCCAACCTCTTCCTCACTCTCCCTCACCCGTCCCTGTCCCTCCCTCACCCGTCCCTCACGTCTCCCTCACCTCTCCCTCACCTCTCCCTCACCTCTCCTCCCAGACAATAAATCTTTCCTCAGCTGCCAAAATGTCCTTCACGAAGCCTAAACTGTGTTGCTTAATGCCAATAAAAGTGTATTAATTTTGCCTTGTTTTACTTACTCTTGCACAAGTAAAGGAGACCAAACCTGCCGTATCTGCCAATCTTTGCTGGCTTGCAACACTGTAAGAACTTACTTAGGTTTTGCAACATTTGTCCACTGTCTCCGAGGGCCGACCGTCACCCGACCTTCAACAATGGAGAGAGAGTGGAAGAGAGTTTTTGTATATTAAACAAGGATAAAGGAGAATGTAGGTGATATAGAAGGAATAGGAAAGAGAGAGAGAGAGAGAGAGAGAGAGAGAGAGAGAGAGAGAGAGAGAGAGAGAGAGAGAGAGAGAGAGAGAGAGAGAGAGAGAGAGAGAGAGAGAGAGAATGAGACAGAGAAAACAGGTAATTTTGCATTTCAATACCGGTGTCGAGGTCCATCATATTATTGACGGTCCAGGACGCTGGGTGTAGAGAGGTGAGAGAGCTGCCTGCTGACACACCTGAGGACAGGAGACACCTACGAGGTGTTGCCTGAGTACAAGGAGATAATGAGCGCAGGTAACCTCATCTGTCATCACACACAAGCAGCCTCCTTCGTCTTCACGCTCCTCGTCACCTTCGTCTTCACGCTCCTCGTCACCTTCGTCTCCACGCTCCTCGTCACCTTCGTCTCCACGCTCCTCGTCACCTTCGTCTTCACGCTCCTCGTCACCTTCGTCTCCACGCTCCTCGTCACCTTCGTCTTCACGCTCCTCGTCACCTTCGTCTCCACGCTCCTCGTCACCTTCGTCTTCACGCTCCTCGTCACCTTCGTCTTCACGCTCCTCGTCACCTTCGTCTTCACGCTCCTCGTCACCTTCGTCTTCACGCTCCTCGTCACCTTCGTCTTCACGCTCCTCGTCACCTTCGTCTTCACGCTCCTCGTCACCTTCCGAGATTCAGATCGAAACACATCAGGTAATAACTGGTTTTTCAGCAGAGTGGTCATACATTTGAACAATTTATTAACGAAAACGCATCGCTTTTAATCATTTATATTGGAAAGTATCTTATGTATAAGAATGATGCAAATAAGTCAAAATTTTATTTCAAGATTTGAACTAAAAATTAAGATGCAAGAGGATGGGGGCGTCTTAGTACAGAACAGAGGTGATTTGGTTAACTAATTTCTCTACATATAAAAATTAGAGTTTAGATATTGCTCTTTGCTGCAATATTAGTAGAAAACCTCACCAATACGAGCACCAAATTGCCACGTTGCAATCGACCCTGAGGGCACACACTTCAAGGTTAACTTCCTATGTGACCATAAATTATATTTTTTCGAGTCTAAGTTAATATTATTTTATAGTATACAGTAGTATATAGCTAGGCCTAGTATAGGTTAAGTTAGGTGTTCTGCCGCTGGGAATTACATCAGTATGTGCCTGAAGCAGGTAGTGAGCAGTGACTCCAACACAAGCAGCAGCAATCGAGGCGTTAATCGCGAAAAATTCTTCCTCAATGAATTTTGTTTAATGTGTCAAGTGATTTTCATCATGAGTTTAAAGCCTGGATTACCGAGCCACTGTTTATGAGGACACTGGAGGAGATGAGATGGAGGACACACTGTACTGAGGAAATGAGATTTTATTAATCAGGAGATCTGCTTCAAACCCAAGAAACACTAACTGTTTTTCAGCATGAGTGCTAGAGTCACCTCCAGTATTTACACCTTACTTAACGCTTTACACACTATGTAAATACAAATAAAAAAACACTTAATTAAGAAATAAATAAAAACACTTAACTTACCTGCCGGTCGGCCGAGCGGACAGCACGCTGGACTTGTGATCCTGTGGTTCTGGGTTCGATCCCAGGCGCCGGCGAAAAACAATGGGCAGAGTTTCTTTCACCCTATGCCCCTGTTACCTAGCAGTAAAATAGGTACCTGGGTGTTAGTCAGCTGTCACGGGCTGCTTCCTGGGGGTGGAGGCCTGGTCGAGGACCGGGCCGCGGGGACACTAAAAAATCCCCGAAATCATCTCAAGATAACCTCAAGATATACCTTACACTTTACACAAAACTGAAACGTATAACAATTAATTTACATATGAGAAAATACGACTTTTGATTTTCAAAATTTAACGAAATCAACAAAGGTGCCACTGGAGAGTCGCACCTCGAACGAGCACTTGTCACTCACTTAACAAAAACACTTTCCTAACCTCTGCCTAACTATGCATCAATAAAAAAAATAGGCCTAGATATCCATGAAGGCTCAAATAATAGGCCTAATAATGCATTAAGCTTCAAAATATAGGCCTAGCTGTGCATAAAACCTCAAATTATATGTCTAATTATATGTTAATTAAACCTCAAATTATATGTTTGAAAAAAAGTAATTCGATAATCCATAGTTTGAAACTTATCCTGTCAACTGGTTGCCAGGTGTATGAATCTGCATTACAGACACGATACAAGAACCATAATGATAAAATACATCAGGTTTACTAGCACAATACATCAGTCTTACTAGCATAATACATCAGTCTTACTAGCATAATACATCAGTCTTACTGACACAATACAACAGCGTTACAGACACCATAAAATAGTCTTATAGACACAATATAACAGCCTTATATTGGCACTATACAACTGAACACTATACACTATGAATACGTTTAATTTAAGTTTAATTTTAGTTTAATACAGTAAACTATATGCAACTGAAAATTATAGGCAGTATACAAGTGAAAACTGTACTAAATTACAGACAGAATACTGTACTAACTTTTAATCAACTAAAAAATAAATATTTCATGTACCCATATCTATCAGTCTACCTCGCATATTTATCCATATCTACCAGTCTACTTCGCATATGTATCCAGCTCTACCTAACATAAATACCAACCTATCTACCCAGATCTACCAGTCAACCTTGCATATATAATCAGACCTCTCATCTTAAATATTAAACTTTCCCTGAATATTGTATCAAAAATAATTTCACCCTTAACTAATTATATGTAATTATTTGATCCTACCGTAATATATAATTATTTTACCCTTAAAGGCAAATGTGTAATTATCTCCTTCATCCAGTGTGACTAAGAGTGTAACCTAAATACTGTACTTTATTGTGAACTGAAATCACTAAATAATGTACTTTAGTACTTTGCTTAAGTAGAGAATTAAGAGGCCCCTTAATAGCGTACTTTAGTACGGACTTATGAGCCAACTAAACACAGTCAGGATCTGAACTACGAAGCAACAACGCAAGTTGAGTCACTGAACCAATATTATCCTCTTACATTATTGAGTAGGATGGAGTATACCCCTATGGGTATACCTCGCTGCTTGGTGTATATACACCCAGAAGTATACCTCGCTGCTTGGTGTATATACACCCAGAAGTATACCTCGCTGCTTGGTGTATATACACCTAGAAGTATACTTCGCTGCTTGGTGTATACACACCCAGAAGTATACCTCGCTGCTTGTTTATATATAACCAGAAGTATACCTCGCTGCTTGTTATATATACACCCAGAAGTATACCTCGCTGCTTGGTGTATATACACCCAGAAGTATACCTCGCTGCTTGGTGCATATACGAGAGGTGTACCCCACTCCAGGAACACCGAGATGTGTACTCAGCTTGTGAGTGTATCTACACCCAGAGCTAGAGACACTTCGCTCCTGACCAAGCGCATAACAATTCTTTGCCTCTACCTATTTGAGGCATCAGAATTGGTGTTGAGGAAATAGAATTGATGTCTTGACAGGGAAAAAGAGAGCAGGACTTACAACTACAGTGAACTCCACTTTGCATACAGGTCCGCTGTTCAACCGTTGCAGGCCTGTGTAACACACCACTAGCCACACTCAGTCCTTATAACCAATAAGTTAAAGCTGAAGGTGTAACCAATACACTAAGGCTAATGGATATTACCAATAAGATAAAGCTGATGGGCATAACCAATGAGATAGAGCTGATGGGTATAAGCAAAAGGTTAAAGTTGTTGGGCATAACCAATAAAATGCACGTGATTGGTATAACCAACAAGTTAAAGCAGGGATAAAAGCAATAACACACATTCAATCTCTCTCTCTCTCTCTCATATTCTCAAACAGAACCTAATTTTCTTTTCTCCTGTTACAAGAAATCTTTTGAACAAGATAAAACTGAACATTTCACAATTTACTTTTTCTCTTCCTCCTACGCGTGCCGTTTTCACTTGCAAATTTGTTCATTTTGCGCCACGAGTTCAACAAATTGTCTGCCAGCAGCCTCGCTCCTCGTCTGACAGCTCTCCTTCTCAAACTTCCAAGTCGTCTGGTAAGACATTTTAGTGAGGAGTTCATGGCTGGTGTGTACGTTCAGTGGGGTTAAGACGCCTCAAATATTCTAGTAACAAGAAGAAGAATGATTATATATTTATACAACAAATACTCTCCCACCGCTGAGAGAAGCTAATTCTCCCCCACCACTACGGGTCTTCCCCTGTCATTCCATTACTGAGAGAGTAAACATTACCTGCTGTGCCAGCGCTTGAAGGGGGCCCCCTGCCGTGCCAGCGCTTGAAGGGGGCCCCCTGCCGTGCCAGCGCTTGAGGGCCCTCCACCCCCCCCCCCCCTCCTCCCCAGAAACAGTTGTTCGGTGGTCCTAAACAACTGCTCTCATCCTCGGCCAATGGTGTGCTTCACCTGGCAAACTGTAACAACATCCTTCAGACATCCCAGCCACTCTTCAGGAATTCTCAGATCGTTCTTGATTGCGGAGCCTTGCGGGGCGTCGTAATTGTTTCTATCGGTGGATAGTTTTGGGTTGCTCGTGGGAATAGATGTTTGGTCGTTGGAGTGGATAGAGGGGACTTGGAGGTGGGGAAAACACCTTTGGAATAAGAGGTTGTTTGCATAAGCAGTCTAGAATACCTACATGTTTTCTTTTGAACACTACGCTCGGACCGGTTTACAACCGGCTCGCTAGTTACTGCTGGGTGAACAGGGGCAATCAGCTTAACATCTGTGAAGAATCGCTTCACCACGCCCAGCGAGGCGTTGCGA